GGTTCTGGGAGATCAGGCCGAATGAATCAACTTAAAAGCCGTCCTGGGCACCTACTGCGTGCGCTTGGGGAAGAGTTAACTGGTCACACAGGTCCCCTCGACCACATCTGTGCTTATTGTCAGAACTCTCTATAAATTTGCCTTGTTCTACAGAGGCCCCCTGCAAGTGGCCAGATGGACTCTGTCCTGGTGGGGAAGAGGCCACTCTGAACCACCAGGATTATTTGTTCTGATGTCATGAGGAAAACAAGCATTCTCTTGGTCAACTAGAAACAAATCTGTCACACTCATTCAAGAGTTCTGATTCAAGAACTCAGAAATCAAATCTCCATCATCATACCCTAATTGGTTGTTTATTGCTTTTAGTCTGTCTATCAGAACTTACTGGTCATCTGCTTTGGAATCATCATCTTTTCACTGATGTTGCTGTAGGGTTTGAATGGTTCTTGGAATTAGGCAGAGCCCCCCACAAGGCAATGCGAATACAAAAGTAGTCATTTGTGAGTGTATGCGTTACCCCCCAGGGATGATGGGCAGCCCTGGGGAAGACTCTTACACAAGTCACCAGCCAACAGCAGGTTGTTCCTCCACTCCCCAAAGGTAAAATCAAGTCAGACTTGGTTCATCAGTGCCCCCCAGGTAAGCAAGAACTTGGCAGCCTTTCCCCAGGCAGCAGATCTTTTATATATGCCACAAACCCAGAGGTTTTTTTGTTTTAATGCCATTACTATCATTCTTCACTAAAAATGATATATTTTTTTTCCTGTTGAAATGACTTTTTTGTTTAGGATTTCAGTTTTGTTCTGTGGCTTTGTTCCTCAAAGCTGTGATCTGTGGACCAGCAGCCTGGGCATCTCCTGGGAGCTTGTTGGAAATGCAGACTACAGGCTGCTCCCCAGACCTCCTAAACCAGAATCTGCAGCTTAACAAATCTCATATGATCCTGGGCATGGTCAAGTTTGAGAGGCAATACTGCATGTGTCTTGATTTCTCCGTTGGCTTGAGCTAAGATCTCCACCAAGTGCTTTCCTTGAGGCTGGGATTTGGGGTAGGCTTTCAGATCTTAAAAACATCCATTCTCAGAAATCCCTTCTTTTGCCATTGCATGACGTCATTCATTTTACCTGGTCTGCCACAAGAATGAAAAAGGCAAATGACGTCCAAGTTTTATACTCAGACACACACACACACACACTAACTTCTTAATTGCATCTGTTAAAACCCCCATCATTAACAGAATCCCAAGTGCTGCCAAGATTAATTGAGAAATGCCTAAAGGCAAAATAAACACTGCCTCATGATTTAATTCAAAACCATATCAGCTAAGAATGGAGGTGCAATTAGTGATAAAGATGTTAATAATTAGTTGTGCTCGGTTAAATTTTATATTCAGTGGTTATTGTAGAATGAAGAAAGAATTTCTGCAGGAGGGCAGAAATCAATGTTTCACCTTGATTGCTATTTTAATGTGCTTATTTTAATGGGGCCATCCTGTAGAAACCCTTGGGCACATTTCCAATTTTACGTAAATGTAAAATTAATTATTACGGAAGCATATAATTTTAGAGTTGGAGCAACCTTGGCGGTCATTTAATCCAGTTCAGTCATTTTACAAATAAGTGAGAGTCAGATGACTTAAGTCCTTCCACAGAGTACTAAAACTAGGCTTTCCCAACTCTCAGAACAGCAACTCTTGCACTTTTTTCAGATCCCCTCAGATAGATATGCTTCCTGATTCCTTAGCATTCCCAAAGTACTGTTGTATTGCCCCTATGCTCCTTATTCCACCCTACATCACAGTCTAGTTGCTTTCCACTATAAGATTGGGGTCTTGGGAACTTTGTCTGATTGATTTTTGTATTTCTTCAAGTGTTCTAGCTCTGTATTTAATTATTTGTTTTAAAATATTTGCTTAGATGTTGCTGGACCTTTATTTTATTCATTTATTTAAATGTGGTACTGAGAATCAAACTCAGGGCTCACACATGCTAGGCAAGTGCTCTACCACGGTGCCACAACTCCAGCCCTAGCTCTATATTTAGCCATTTGTTCTTGCACGATAAGTGAAATGTGTGAAGTTTTGGAGCTAGTTTATTACTTTGGGTTTTGTTTTGTTTTTCTTCAGAAATGGTACCCAAGGCCTTGCACATGCAAAGCGCAGGTTCTATTTGAGATTCAGCTACAATCCCAGTTCTGAAGCTGGTTTTTATCTGCTCATTAGAACTGATTGTGTCTTCATACTTGAAATTGGCTATAGTGGTAGTATTAAACCATAGAGGTGGGCAAATACTTCAAGGCTTTTGGTTCCCTGGCAGTGCAGTAGTTAAACATGTACGAGCAATCACCACTCTTGGCATGATTCTCATAAAGTCTCACAAGGCAATGAGGCCTTATGAAAATATTTACAAAATTGTAAGATCCATACCAACATGAAGATGACCATTTACCTGTTGCTTAGCATGGGCTGCTTCAAGAATGATGGAGTGGGCTGGGGTTGTGGCTCAGAGGCAGAGTGCTCACCTAGTATGCTTGAGGCACTGGGTTTGATCCTCAGCACCACATAAATGTAAAATAAAGATATTGTATCCACCTAAAACTAAAAAATATTTTTTTAAAAAAAAGAATGATGGAGTAGTCAATTTCTTGACCCACTCTCATCTTTTTAGGATTCAGGACGGTGCACATCAGACCTTAGGACTGCCTTAGAACATGATGGTTGCTCAACTAAATTTCACTCCCCTGGAAAAGCTCTTTGGGCATGAATAATAATGGAAACTGGGTCTGAAATGTTGAGTGAGAAAAAAAAATTTTTTTTTCAGAAAAAATGTGAACAGGCAATTATAATGGCTGTAATTGCAATGACATCTTTATGCTTCCACAAAAACCTTCATGGCTCCCTGTGACCTACAAAAATGCCCAGACTTCCTAACATAAGTATACACTGACTACAGCTTATCCTTCTAGGTTCATCCCCAACCAGTCCCTGTTCACCCACCCTGAGTCCCACCTCCACTCTACTCTGCAGCCTCCATTACATTCCCTTGTCTTGGGATCCCCACTCTTCCTCCCAGTTCCACCGTAGGCTCTCTCCCAAGCCTCTGTTCTTACCTGGTCCCTTCAACCATGTGCCAGAATTTCTGAGTTAACATGATAATTCAGATGACCCTGCTTATCCCTTCTCTTGTATGTCTGTCTTTAGGAGCAGGAACCGAGGTCCCATTGGCCCTGGAAAGTATGGCTATGGTAAGGCCCCGTACATCTTACCGCTGCAGACCGACACTGCACACACGACGCCACAGAGGCTTCGGAGACAGAGGCCCTCACCTCGGCATTCCAGGTCCCAGGGGACATCTGCTCCCAGGCATGGCTACAGCTCACCAGCCCACCAACTCCCCCATCATGCACCTTTATACCAAAGTGACAGTGGCCCTCGCTCTAGACTGCAGACCTCAGAAGACTCCGTATACCAGTTGCCTTTGACCCATGACCAAGGCTTCCCTGCAGCTTCAAGTCTCTTCCAGAGCCCAGAAACAAGCAACAATCATGGTATGGGGGCCCATGGAGCCTCTCAGAGCTTCTCCCAGCCTCCGAGATCTACAGCAATCTCGTGCATCGGGGCCTATCGGCAGTACAAGCTGTGTAATACCGATGTGAGTACTGCTCCTCTTACCTTTCAGCCAGTTGGCACTGGGCATGTGGAAGACAGGAAGTCATGAGGTTTGGGACCATGTTAAAAGATCTTTTTAGCTGGGGACAGTGGCACATACCTCTAATCCCAGGGATTCAGGAGGCTGAGACAGGAGGATCATGAGTTCAAAGCCAGCCTCAGCAAAAGTGAGGCACTAAGTAACTCAGTGAGACCCTGACTCTAAATAAATTACAAAATAGGGCTGGCAATGTGGCTCAGTGGTCCAGTGCCCCTGAGTTCAATCCCTGGCACACACAGCCCCCCCAAAAATGATCTTTTTATATACCACCTTCCCTCTCTTTTATCTTCATATAAGCTCCCCATGTTCTTTATTTTTTCTAAAAGTTATCACTTTTGAAACATAGCTTATGGAATCATGTATCGATAATCACTTAATGGTGAGGTGAGAGCTATTGCTGTGTAACAAATATCAACTCCCAAATTCTCAGAGTCTCGCATCAACACTATTTATTCTTTGCTCATGAGTCTGTGGGCCAAGTGCAATTTGGTTGACTTATGGCAACTAGCAGTGCTGCCAAGGAAGCGGGTGTTTGGGGAGGTGCAACCCAGTACATTTTCTGGAGACTCCCTGCTCTTCCAGGCATATAGACTTTAGGTGTTGTATCATCAAGGCTTCTGATAGTGAGGGTATAAGAGTCTCCTCTTCTTAGGGGAGGAGCTGGGATGTTTGGGGTAATAGATGGCACTCACAGCCCTTTAGCAGCAGTTATTTACTAACTAGATAGCAGTATTCAAATATTTGAAGAACCTGTATAGATGTATTGTTATATCTAGGCTGAATACACACTTTGGACATTCAGTAAATATTTATCCATCTTCATGCATTAATAATATCTACTTTTATTAAAAACTCATAAGAAGCCAGGATCTGTGCTTAGCCCTTTTATTATTTACCCTATTTAATCCTGTCCTTAACTTTATGAGTTTACTTCTCTTTCCATTTGACAGTTGCAAAGAGAGGTTAAATAATGTGCAGAAGATAACACAGCTAGTGAATAGGAGAGCTAGTTATCAATGTAAACTATAGAAGGTGAGCAAATGTGTTGTTTTTAATATCAGTTTAAAGGCCATGGGTAAAAGAGAAAGGAATGAGAGAGTGTTGAGAGGTTAAATTTCTGAGTTGCTATATTTTTCATTAATAATTTAATCTGCCTTAATACTCCGTTACCCGGTAACAAGACAGCTATTATATATTAGGTTCAATTCCCTCATTAAAAATATATTTCCTGTTATAGAGTCCATAGAAATGACTTAATTTGTGATCTTAATAATTCCTCTGAATGCCTGAATTGCTTGTAGTTTGTTCTTCCCCTGAAAGACTTCAGAAATTATTACTTTTCATAAAGCAGTAACTTTTTTAAAACCATCACTAATCAGTCAACCAAAAGTCTTAATTGAACGTCTTTACTTTTAACAGACGAGGTGCCATGAGAGATTTAAAAAAAAAAAAGTTATATTCTCTACTTCACAGAGTTATTATAAAGATCAAATGAGGTGGTGTAAAAAAAAAAGTGCTTTGTAAGTCAAAAAGTAAGGAATTTCTTGCATTAATGATCAGACATGGTCCTTGTTCTTGAATTTCCATTGTTGTTCTGTTAAAATTAAATGAATTCTTTCATAATGTAGAACACATTCTCCCATTGACTAGTACATTTCTTAATTTTGAAAACCAAGTAAACCATAAAGAGAAAGGGAAAGAGACAGAACATTTGGCATAACGTGTCTGACATCTGCTTAGCACTTCTTTCATTTAACTTGCATTTTTAAAGCCTGCTCTTTTGGCCAGACCTATGCTGCCAACATCCTGGGTGCTGGGTGGCTGCATCGTAGAGGAGACTGGATTCCAAGAAATCTCAGATGCTCCTTGTGAGTTTGTGAGGTCCTCTGGTGTTTGCAAAGCAGGCAAAACAAAGAAGTCCATGTTGAGGCTGCTTTTCACTCACATTTTTAACAGTGCACCCCACTGCCCCAGGTCCACATCCTTTTTACCCTTATTGAGATATGTCATTCCTTAGAGGTCCCATTGTTATATATATTTTTTATAAGCCCATGACTTCTTGTGACTTGGGCCACATTCTGTGAGTACTTTAATACTCTGCCAGGGGTCCCCAAGACCTCTCCTGAGTTTGACGATTCTCTAGGAGGACCCTCAAGACTCAGCATACGGTCAGGGCTATGAATTATCACAGTGAAAAGATATGAAGCCAAATCAACCAAGAAACAGGCACATAGGACCCAAGCCCAGAGGAAAAGCAGGCACAGGTTCCCAAGTGTCCTCTCCTAGTGAGGACGAGCACACTCCTGCAACAATAGGTTGATTCAACACATGTGAAATGGTTGCTAGTGACACTCATTCTCTGTATCCAGAGCTTTTACTGGAGGCTGGTCACATGGGTGCTCTCTGTCTGGCATATTACAAAATTCCAGACTCCCCAAAGGAAAGCAGATGCTCTGCATAAACTAGATTGTTCAATACAGTGTAGGCACAGTGGGCCACTCTTACCATTCAGAGAGTGACAAAAGCCTTCCTGAAACCCAAGTTCCCAGACACCAGCCATGGACCAGTCTCGCCAACAGGCCTTTCCAAGGGGAGCAGCCTCAGTCTTGCTGTGTTAAGTCTTTTTTACACCCTCCCCAGATGGACCATGCTGTAGCATCTTAGCATCAAGGACCTCGTGTGGACATTTCCATATCCTCCCAAGTGTCCAACATGAAGAGATGACATGAATTCCCAAATTATAGAAATCTTACTCAAAAGAAGAAAAAAAGTATAAAATAATGTGAAAAATCTTACTAATCTAACAGGAAAAGCAGGTTACTATGTATGTCCTCTCCAAAGATTAAAAAAATAATCTAAAACTGTATGCACTTAGATATATCTCTCCTAGCTATTATCTGGAAGCAGGAAAAGATGGCGATGTAGGCCAGGGCACGTTGGAAATATCCACAGGTTCCATCCCTTAAACTAGTGCCTGGTATATCCCACTCCAATTTTGATGGGACACCCCCTTTATAACACTCCCAACAGCTGAGAGCCCAGTTCTGACATGTATGGGGATGAACATGAGGAGTGTTCTAATTCAGGGGTCAGTGTTGTGCAGTGTGTCATCACTGGTCACAGCCCCTCCCCCCCCAAAACACCACAGGGGAGAGAGTTCCACATGTAGCTACTTGTTGGTCACCATCCTGAGCTAGAGCACAGAGCAGGGGTCATGGACTGGGGAGGACTCCACTGAGGAGGAAACAATTGAGCTAGGCTTACAAGATGGTTCAAAAAGAGGAATGAGCATCTGAGAGCAAAAGAGACAGCTTAGTCCAAGAAAGGAAGGCAGAATGGTGTCATGATCTCAGAGCAGCCATGTCTGCTGGGAGGTAGGGAACGCTCCAGCCGTTCCCTCCCACCTGCTTTCCACTGTAAGTAATCACACAGTTAATGCAGAATTTATTCTTTAACACCTCACAATGCAGAAATGTCACATGGACCTCATTTCATCAAATTGTACGTGAGACAGATTAAGGAGAAACAATTTTTACACACAGTGAGAAATCAGAAGGCCATTCTAACTAACTGGTTTAGTTGGATGTTAGACCTGCCAGGCAGTGTGGGATAGTGCCCATGCACTTGAGCTGGATGCAAACTCCAGTTTCTACAATGGGGAGCCGAATCTCTTTGGCAAATCACTTAACCTTTGTAGGTCTCTTGTAAAATGTAATCATGATAATCCCTGCCCCATAGAGTTGATGTGAGGTTCAGATACGGTTAGATATTTAAGGCTTGGCAAAGTGCTGACACATTCTTAGTAAATAAGCTAGACCTGGATAGTTGGCCATGACTTACCTACCTCTGTAGACAGGAATAGAGTAAAACATCTCCATGTCTGAGCATGGTCCAAGTTCTAAGTGGTAATGCACGAAACTTGTGGATGAAATAGCCAGACTTTCTACCAGCCCCCATTTGTCCTCTGCATTAAATGTGATTCAGAGTCCTTTCACTTTGCCCGATGATATGATGAGACTGCTGAGAGACCCAACATTTCTGCTGCATGCAGGTTCAATGTAATCATCCCTGGGGCAGAGTTCTAAAATGATTAGAAAGAAACTACAGATAACCGACTTCATGCCAGTGAATTCTTTACACCCTCCAGTGTCAGTGCTTAATAGTAAGCCCTACCTTGTCATGATGTCATCTTGGAATTTTAAGCATTCTAGCATGTCTTCACGATTATTTGATTCATATGACAACATCTACAAAATACTGTAAATTCAATAATGAATATTAGTACTCATGACTTCTGAATGTAGATTTTAAAAATAAGTTTTTTAAACCTACACTGTGTTGTATGAGGAAGTTAAAGTATAGGTCCTGGTATAGATAAACCACCCTGTGATCTTTTTTGAGCTGGTATCAGTCACCTGGTACAAGGCAAGAACAAGATTATGAGTTTTTAGGGGGCTTTGTTGTCAAAGGAAGCATGATCCTGAGTTTAGATAGAGTGCACTTAGTGTTACAAGGGGGAACCCCTGGGGCTAAAAGAAGCTTTTAGCAAACACAGGTGTGGTGAGTTCTGATATCACTGACTCTCCAGCATATTTCCCTGGGGTGGGACTGGCTTTTGACAATGGGTTTATCCATGTGGAGTTGTTTCGGCTTCAAAGTAAGTGACAATGAAGGGAAGATGTTGGACAGATCGCAAATGTAGCTGAGCATACTCTCTACAGGCAGATTCTAATCCTACTCCATGTCTGATCTGATACTGAATGAAAGAGGAGCTGACAAACAACTTCCTGACTACAGTTTGAAGGACAGACTTAGAAAATGGGGCCAGGTAAGAATTCAGTGCAATTCTGTAAGGTGTAAAGCTTGCCAGGAATCATGGAGCCAGTTACTGGATGGACAGGCTGTCTGACTTGGGTCTCCACATACCCATCTCTTCTTAAGAG